TTGGAGTCGCCCGTCAGGAGCTGCGTGCCCGCCTCCGTGTAGCAGCACTGCTGGCCAGAGCCGTACCGGGGGCTGTGGGCGTGGGAGGTCGGGGTCAGGGCCACCACTCAGAGTCTGTCCCCAGCCTTAACCCCGGGCCCTGTCTGGGGACGCACCTGGCTTGCACGGAGCGTACGCAGTGCACAGCCCCGGGGTGGTAGGTGCACACGCTGCCGTGTTCGATGTCACAGCCGCAGTCCGTCTGCAGAGTGGCCGGTGGCTGTCACTGCCTCCCAAGGAGCCGACCCTCCAGGGTCCCACAGGTCCCAGCTCCACCTCCCAGGGGGCTCTGTATCTCCCCGCGATTGTCCTCAGGGAGGGAGGCTGGCCCCTGCCCGTCCCTCTATGCCCGGTCTCCCAGACCCTCGTGGGGGCGGGGCTCACGTGGAAGCGGCCGGAGTCGGCCCGGGCCTGGGCCAGCGTGCAGGGGCAGTCGGGCAGCTCCTGCAGGAAGTTGGGCAGCTGGTCCTCCTGCTCCTCCCAGGCCAGGCACTGAGCACGGGCCCAGGCCACGGGGTCAGCCCGGAAGTCGTCCTCCAGGTGCCAGGCCAGTGCGTGGTCGTTGGTCCAGAGTGCCAGCACGTCCCTGTGGCAGAGACGACGCAGCGCTGAGGGCTGTGCCACCCCCCCACGCCCCGTCCTTTCCAGGCTGGTGCAATGGTCCAAAGGCCGTGGCCCCCCCTGGCCATCCTCTGACCCCGTTCTTACTTCTGCCCCGCGTAGTGTCTGCTGGTGATGATCCGCAGGGCACCTACTTTCCATTTCTGGAAGTTGGGCGGGGCGGGTGTCGGAGTGAAGGTGAAGAAGCCGGAGTTGGGGACGTTCGTGGCCAGGGTGTACAGGTAGGACCAGCTTGCTGTCCACGCCGCTGAGTATGGCTGCCCTGTGGGGGACAGGGCCTGGTGAGCCCTGGGTCCCACTGAAGACCCCTGGGGCAGGGAAGGGGCATGGCTCCAGTCTTCAGCGCTCAGAAGAGCTTGATGGGAGGATGGATACACTGTCCCCAGAGACGGCCCCCCCGCCACTCCAGCAGGCTTGGATGGCCACCACCTGCCCCCACACTCCAGGGTCACTGTCCCTTCTGAAGGCTGAGCCCAGAGCCAGACCAGCCAGGCACAGAGGAGACAGGGCAGAGCAAGCTGTTTCCGGCACCAGCTTGCTTACGCAGGCGCCAGGGTGTCCCCAACTCCCTCCCTGGGCTGCTCCCCTCCCCCTCGCACCATGGCTGTCCCTCTCACCTGTACGTTCCTGGATCCTGATTTCCAACCCCTGCCTGGCATTCCTTCCGCCTCTTCCCCCCCACACTCCGAACCTTCCTCGCCCCTCCTATGCATCCGGAACTCCTCTCACATTTCTGGGAGCCAGAGCTCCCACCGCCTCCAGGCAGCCCTCTGGGACCTCACCTGTCTCCTCATAGCCCCACAGCTCGATGGTAACGGCCTGCGTGGGCAACGCGGAGGTGCTCCAGGTCAGACTGAGGTTGCCCGTGGTGTTGGAGGTGCCGTAGTACTGCCAACGGGTCTCATTTATCAACTGGCTCTTCTCTGTCTCTGACACTTTATTGGGGTGCACTGGGCCGGGGGAGGTGAGAGGTGAGTGAAGGCTTGGGGACCCGAGGCAGGAGGGGAGGCCTCGGGACTCTGAGAGCTGCAGGGGCTTCCCAGGGACAAAGCAACACGGTAGCTGGTGACAGCCTCCCCCAGAACATATACGCGGGTCTCCATCACCCCGGCCTCGGCCTCCACCTGACTCCTGCCCTGCCCTGGTCTGGCCCGCCCGCTGTGCTGGGATGCCTGACTGGGGGTGGGCAAACGAGCTGAAGGAGCCCCCGCCCCTGCTGTCAGGTGGGCGGGTGCCCGGGGACTGGCTCAGCCAGCGTGGCAGGGCGCAGGGAGCGGGCCAGGTCTCGGTGTGCATAGATTAGCGTTGGGGAAAGTCCCGTGGGCTCAGGCTATGGTGGGAACTGGGGTAGGGTGGGGCCCAGCACAGCCGCGTGAGGGCTCACCAGCCAGCCAGGTGCCCGAGCGCGGGAAGGAGCGGCCATTGTCCAGGGACAGCGTGAAGGGGATGCGACCGCTCTCGTAGAGCAGGGGCGAGATGCAGTGCACTTGTCCAGAGGAGTCCACGTGGCCGAGGGTCTCGATGCTCTCCTTAAACCTGTGGGCGCAGCGGGAACAGGAGCGGGTGGGCCAGCGTGGCAGATGGACCTTCTCCAAGGCCCGGGCCCCACACTGCCCTGGGGACCCCGTAAAGCCAGTGTCCCTGTGCCCTCCTGCCTGTCCTCGCCCGAGGGGATCCGCCTGGCCTGCCATGCATGACCGGGCTGGGGGTGTGCAGCCCCAGCCTCGCACCTGCAGATCACGCCGTCCATGGGGTTGGGCCACTTCAGGTGCTGCACCACGAAGTCCTTGCCACCCATCATGGAGCCAGAGTAGGGCACGATCTCCAGGCAGAAGTTCCGGAAGTCCAAGCAGCAGGTGCCGAGGCCGGAGCAGGTCGGGTGGCAGGAGCATGACCCTTTCTGGTCCCCACAGCGCTGAGAGCAGCTTTCCTGGGCAGCTGGAGGAGAGGCCCTGAGTGCCACCCCACGCACAGAGCCTGTCCCCCTCCCCCAGGGCTCAGCAGAGAGACCCCAGCCAGGAGCTGCACTGGCCATGACCCTGGGCAGCTGGAGGAGAGGCCCTGAGTGCCTGGCCGGCCACCCCACGCACAGAGCCTGTCTCCCTCCCCCAGGGCTCAGCAGAGACGCCAGCCAGGGGCTGCACTGGCCACGATGTGGACACCGTGGAAAACACAGGAGGGGGGACTTCAACGCAGACCTGCTGTGCTAGCTGTCAGCCTGACTGGCTAGAATGTGGCAAGATAAGGGGAGATACCTCCAAACAATCGCCTGGAAGGGCCGGCAGGGGCCCTCAGGCACGACTGACCTTCGGCCTCCCCAGACCCCTCAGCCGGCATGGGTGCTCAGAGAGCCTCAGCTGCCTGAGCCCTTGGCATGCACCTGAGGACCTCCCTGGGCTCCCCGAGGTGTTCATGGGCTCCCTGAGGTGTGCCTTCCTGGGGCCCTGCGGCCTGGAGGAAGACCCCTTACTTGCTTGGGCTGGGGTCTGAGGTCCAGCTGCTAAGCACAGTGGACAAGTTTGACCCATCTCTCTCCGGGGGGAGCACGGTGCAGAGACACTGACCCACAGGGAGAAGACCAGGGGTGTGCCCTTTCTAGGGGTCAGGAGGGACATTTCCAGCAGGCCCAGGGTGGGGGAGAGGGCGGTACGGGGTGCAGCATGGGCCATCAACCTGCAGCAGGGCCTTATTTTCAGGGGATCCGCCCCTGTGAGGCTGGCATGGACGACAGGGTGGAGGGTGGAGACCGGGGACTGTCGCATGGTCATTCTGGCTCCCCAGAGGAGGCCCGGCGAGGTCCAGTCCTGGCCTGAGACACCCTGCGGCCTCACTTCACTAAGTGCAGGCCTGGCACTTAAGAGAATCAATCGATAGTTATTGGCCAAGGCTGTGGCAGCCCGAGGGAGTGCGGGGAGCGGTCTGAGCCATGCCAGTAAATGGGGCAGGGAGTAGGAGGTGGCGTGGACACCCCTGTGAGACTGGAAATGCGGTGGGGTGAGCGGTCGGGGACCGGTGAGCCCAGCCCAACCTGGGTTTGGGGCCCCAGCTCTGGAGTTTGGGGCTTAGACTTTCTCGGGTTCAGCTTCACCCTGACAGGGGCTGACAGTCTTGCTGAACAGGGGGCCAGGGGTTCCCTGGGTGATTGGGGTGCAGGCCAAGGGCTCTGCTGGTCTCCCCTGCCTCCCTCCCTGGCAGCCTGGCCTCCCGGCTTCCAGGAGGTGGTGGTGTTTAGGGTGGGCAGAGCCTGGGCCTCCCATCACCACTGCCGACCCCTCAGCCATGGCCCTTAGAACCTCCTCCTACTACTCCCAGCCCGGCTGCAGCTGCCCTGGCAGATGGCTGAGGCTCAGCTCAGAGGGGTGTCTGCCCGGGGCCTGGCTGCGGGGGCGACAGCAGGGCAGGGCGGGCATACCTGCAGTGGACTCGGGGCCTGGGCCAGAGGCTGTCAGCAGGAGCAGGGCCCAGGGCAGAAGCAGCTTCATGGTGGGGCCTTCCCCCGCCCCCCCCCCCCCGCCCCTTGCTCTGTGGCTCCGCCCCGCCCCACCCGGACTGGCCTGGTCCCCTCTCAAAGTCCACAGGTGCTGGCGAACCTACAGTCCCAACCTGCCCCGTTAGCACATTCCTGGCCCACTAGCCAGGGCCACGGGAAGGGCCGGGACCTCAGCCCGGGGACCCCGTGGGAGGGCGAGGGGGCCAGATCCTCCTGATTCAGGAGCGGGATTTTGGCACACTGGGAGCGGGCTGTCCAGAGGCTCCATCCAGCAGAGCTCCTGCAGGGCGGGATCTGCAGGGTGGGTGAGGCGGGCTGTCCTTGCTACGGGCAGGATTCCAGCCCTGTGACCCTCGGCTTCCCTCGGGGAGGAGGTGCTCCTGATGCCTTCCAGCGGCGGGCAAGCCAGAAGAAAGCAG